TGGTACTGAAGAAAAAGGTAGCACTCGTGGCAACACATTAATGGGTGTTTGAACGTGCAGCTTGGAAATTCTTCTACTTTGAAAATATTGGGCAACAGATCTGCAATAGCACTCTGCATTTCCATCTTGGTTCGAGAAACCTGTATTTCGACTGTTAAACACTCGTTCATTGCATTGGAAAATTTGATGATCTTAGTGGACACAAAAGTTAAAGAAAGTACATATAGAAAGTACTTAGAGATGTTCACTGAACGAAGTACATCGAGATTAAAGTATCGATTCATATTACACAGTAGAAAGTACACGATATTAGAACTCAAATCTTGGAAAATCTTCTACGCTGAAAACATTTGGCAGCAAACCTTCTTGGTTCACGTTTGTAGGTGGTGTTAAATCCATTATACTGCCAAACCATGTCTCATATGTTTTGAGATAACGATTTGGACTCAATGTAAGGATATGTTCTGATTTGGTAGATTTGCTGATAGATTTATGTATGTTCGTGGTAGATTTATACATGATTTAGTGGAAGATTTATGCATGCCGTGCTGGTAGATTTATATTTACTAATGTCTTCCCTCTTTGTACATGTCGATTACTGGAAATTACATCGGGCTCTATGATATATAGAAGCCAAATCGGTGTATCAATCATTATCAAATCTATTATACCAAATAACTTACATATATTAAAAATCTACCACTACAATGAAACATATCTCATACCATAATTAAATCTACCATAACGCTTAATTACTAATAAAATTTATACATCAAATCTACCATCAAGGAAAACCGGAATTTTAATGATCCAAAACCTATTGAAACGAGAAAACAAAAACCCTAGGAACAAAAACTGTTGCAAGCCGCCGCTACATCTATCTCTGAGAAGATTGGCCACCAGAGAATGCGAGGACCATTCACCCATCTGAAACCACTCTCGGGGAAGAGATTTACATACTTTTTGAAGCCTCCATAGGGAATTCCGCTGGAGAAAATCAACCAAACATAAGAGAAGATGAAAAAGACGATCTCTATCGGCCATGGATCAACCGCCGTAGATCTGGCCAGAGAGAAGAAAAAAATATATAGAAAGAGAAGAGAAAGAAAACAAACGAGTAAAAAAAAACAGATTTGACTGAAGAGATAATGGAAAAGGAGAGAGAAGAGAAAAGAGAGAGAAAGAGAAAGAGAGAGAGAGAAAAAAAAATAAAAGATAAGGAAAAGAAATGAGAAAAAAAAAATTAGATTTAATATATATATATATTTCCATAATAATTAAAAAATGTTATTTTTTATTTTAGATTTTAAATAATATATTTTTAATTAATAAAATTTTATTTATTTATATAATGGCATTTTCGTTATTTTGTACATGTTTTTGGCTAAATAGTCTTTTAAAAATTTTTTAAGATTAGTTTGGTAACATGACCATTGTAAAGAAATATTCTAGTCAATACTCTATTTAATAAGGTTATTTTAAATAAATAATTCTTTTTTTTTACAAAGGATGATTTTGAAAGCATGATTCAGAATTGATACTTATTACACTAATCCTCTTATTCCTAACAATTTTGTTCTTGTTTTCTGTGTATGTCTTTTCAAAGGAATATTGATACAAGCATCGGTAAAAAGAAGGTATTAAAACAGATTCACAATTAGAAAATATGTCACCCTTCAAGAATAGTCTACTATGAACAAATCTTGATGTTGACCAAAACACTCCGTCTTGAAAGGAAATGCGGGTAGTGAGAACGCGTATCGAACGGTCAACTCACGTAGTTCTACCCGTAAGAGATTCTCTATCGGACCAAGTGGAATTTAGGAAGCAATTTTAATTCATTTCACCGATATTGTGTTTTTTTTTTAAACATGATTTAGTACTAAGTTTTAGGATTCAGAATCTTTTAAAGAAGCCTAAAAAAACAGGCAATACTTGATCGCCATTCAATATATTGTTTAGTACTTATAAATTAGAACTGTACTAGAGTTAACAACCAAAAAACATTCTTTTTGTCATAAAAGGTTGACTTGGTTATATGTAATCAGCAAAATCTGACAATATTATTGCATTTGCATTTTGTTTTTATTGGAATAGTTTTTTTGTGGATTAGTCTAACATTTATCAAGCAACACATTCTAATTAAAAATTATTGGTTACTAGTTGCTAAGTATTATAACTTTTTACCATCAACACAATCTCTTTTTTAACTCGAAAGAGATAGGAAATGCTTCATTCTCATGGATATCTAAATTATTAAAAGGAAAGCACGCTTTGAAAATGTTCAAAAGTTATTATAGTATTTACAATATATACCATTGCATTTAGTAGAAAATATTATAATTTCATTAAAGATATTTTTGTTTTATCATTTTTATAATAATATAAAAAACCATTGTAACTCTAATACACTATCATCCATATGATTAAATGGTTTAATCTATTAACCAACAAAATAGTACACTAAATTCAGGCTAAAATATTTTTTAAAAATCTGAAATTTTAGTAAATTTTGCAAAACTATTATTAGGAATTTTAATTAGTAAAAGTTTCAAGACATTTGAAAATTTTAAAAGTGAGATTTTTTATTAACTTACCAACATAAATTAAAAAAAATGCATGAAATTTTTAATGAAGAGAACATTTCAGATAAATATATTTTAAAGAAACCTGAGATTTAAATAAATTTTGCAATTATTATTAGAAATCTAAAGATCATTAGTGAAAATTTCAGGACATGGACAAAAACATAGAATTTATGAATGTAGATCTGCTCTAGTTTTTTTTCATGAATTTGTTTTGTTAATTAGAATTTAGATTAACAACTTTGATTTAAACGATACTAACATAACTAGAGAAAAAACAAGAGTACTCTTAGGATTCATTATGAAGGATAGCTCAAGAATCGTAAAAAAGAATGAGGATGGGATCAGGTTTTACGAATCACATTTACGAATCAAAATTTTCTGGATCGAATTAGAATTGGTTTCTTTTTTTTATTTTTGCAGGTTTAGTCTCTTATTTTTTATTTATAGATATAAACCGTAAAATTTAATATTACGTTAGAAATAAATATTTGTGCAAATAGAATACTTATCTGCCCATCAATTCTCAAAAAATTAGTCTATTCTACTTATACTCCTTCAAACCGTAAAATTTAAATTTATGTATATGTGTTTTTAAACATTGTTATTTTTCCTAATTTTTATGGGTAGATAATTATACACATAATTAGAAACTTTGCATTTAAAAAATACAAAAATAGAATTAATCTAATATTTGGCGTATAATCAGGAATTCAGGAAATATACCAACTAATTAGAAAAAAACTAATCAATATCGACAAAACTTAATAATAACTTATAAATATATTTTTGAATAGTCATTGCTCAACTTTTATTTGTTTCTCCATATTTTGATTTTACGGAAATATATTTTTCCAAACAAAGAGACGAATTAGAATCTAAAATTAAAATTATCAACACATCGTAAACTTTACACAAATATATTTTTCTTATTAAAAACAAAATTTATCATTGACGGGTAAGAATTTAAACTTTAAATTATTAACACATTTTAAGCTTTATATAAATATATTTTTTTCTATGTAAGAAAATTGTTACAGGCAAGTTAGAATCTAAACTTAAAATTGTCAACACATCTCAAACCTTATATAAATATATTTTTCTTTACAAAAAAATTACTACATGCAGGTTGGAATCTAGACTCAAAATCACCAACACATCTAGAACCTTACTCAAATATATTTTTTCATAAAATAGAAAATATTTAAACGATAATAATAACAACTTACAATGCACAGTCAATACCAAAAACATTAACTTTGTACTTATCATTCATAGCTGATGGAAAAAAACTCAAACAAGATATAGATAAAAACATTTTGTATAGATGATAAGTAACTCAAAACTATCAAACAATTTTTATTAATGTTTTGACGGATTAATATGTTAGAAATTAAGATATAAAAAATAAGTAGCAACACTTAAAATAGAAAGAAAATCTGTATTAAAAAACTAAAATAGTTGATGAATGAACAATGTATTATCACATGTGGGTAATAATCTATGCTAATCTATATATAAAAATATTAAATTTTTTTGGTCCTTATAGATAAAATAAAACAAAATAAAAAAAACTACAGATGGGTTAGAATTTAAATATAAAATTAGAAAGAATAAAAATTATATCTCATGCAAATTGAGTAATTTTTTTTTAAAAAACTTTTGTGCATAGTACAAATCTAAAATCTAGACAAAATTTGGTGAGTGAATCGAATTGTTAGGAATTGTTAGAGAAAAAACTTTCCTATTTTCCCAATCAAATTTGCTTATTATTTATTAACTGTGTTCTCGGATGAACCAGATTTTTGACTATGTATTTTATATGTTACAGATGAATCATAACTAAAATATGAATATTAAAATTTCGATTGTAATCTAAATTTGTATAGCAAATTTATGACGGAATGAATTTTTATAAACTAGTTTTGATATCAACTAGTCTATAGATCCGATTAAATGATACAACAGTATATGGGTTATATATAATTTTAGTATTTTTATTTTAAATGTCATTAACATGACGCGATTTAAAGGGATTCATAAAAAGAGAAAAAAAATAAAACACTAGTCTCCTTGTGTTCAGACGATCTAAACATATTTTAAAATACAAGTTAATGTCATATTAAATTACTTCCCACTATCTAATTTATATAAGTAGGTTAGGTAGTAAGGCAGCCCCCAAAAGCATAAAAACAAATCACAATTTTTCGAGTAGTGGTAAATATATTTAGCCATCTCGTTTTCATTAAATTAAAAATACGAGTAAACCGTTGACCAAAAAATACGAGTAAACAAAAGCAAATTAGACTTGGGAAACGTTTCCATCTCTCACGCAAATAAAAACAAAACGAAAATATCTCTATTATTTTTTATAGTAGAAATAAGATAATGATCATTATTAAAAAAAAAAAAAAAGTCCTAATCAGATCAGGCTATAATCTAAAACTCTCCACCACTCGCAACAAAGCGCGTGGTAGTTTGAAGAGTTAATTTCTTCGAAAGCACAAAGTCTTAAGTCTCTCAACTACTTCCAGGGAGGAGAAGGAGAAGAGAATATCATTAAGCAATAAGGAAACTTCTCTGCAAGTTCCATCTTTTCACGCGTCTCACAATCTTCTTCTCTATATAACTCTCTCTTCCCCAAATCCACCAAAACCCACTCAAATTCGTTTTCTGGGTTTCCTAAATTCACAATCTTTCTCTCCAAATTCGACTCCTTTGAATCGTTTGATCTCAATCCGTCTTTAGGGGTTCTCAAAAAAGTCCTTTTTCGATCCACCTGAGAAACCATGGTTCGTTGCAGCAACAACCTCGTAGGGATACTCAATTTCGTCGTCTTCCTCCTCTCGATTCCGATCTTAGCTGGAGGGATCTGGCTTAGCCAAAAGGGCTCAACGGAGTGTGAGCGTTTTCTCGATAAACCGGTCATCGCTCTCGGAGTCTTCCTCATGGTCGTAGCCATCGCCGGTTTAATCGGTTCGTGTTGCAGAGTCACATGGCTTCTATGGACTTACCTCTTCGTCATGTTCCTCCTGATCCTCCTCGTCTTCTGCATAACGGTTTTCGCCTTTGTTGTCACTAACAAAGGCGCAGGAGAGAAAGTCTCTGGGAGAGGCTATAAAGAGTACAGACTCGGAGATTACTCTAACTGGTTGCAGAAGCGTGTGAACAACGGTAAAAACTGGAACAAGATTAGGAGTTGTCTTGCTGAGAGCAAAGTTTGTTCTAAGCTTGAAGCTAAGCTTGTTGATGTTCCTGTCAACAAGTTCTATGACGAACACCTTACTGCTCTTCAGGTAAACTTAATTTGTCTAATTTTATGGATCTGTTTCTTTGTTGCGTAAAAGTTTGTCTGCTTTTTAGGGTTTTAGTTAGAACTTTATGAATTGGCTTTAGAAGTTTTAAAAATTTGATTAGAGTCTGAAAGGGCTTGACCTTTTTGTTTCTTAAAGTCTCTTTTTTTTTTGGGGTGAGATCAGAACTTTTGTTCTTACTCACATGTCTTTAAAGATCCAAACTTTTTTTGTTTTTAAACACAAAAGCTTTACTTTTTCTTTATTCAAAGTTTTAACCTTTTTTAAATTAAGAATCAGGGTTTATGAATCTGAGATAATGGACTTAAGATTCAGGACCAGATTCTTACTTTATATTCAAGCAATTATGTATAAGTTCTGCTATGTTCTGTTCTGTTAGCAGTTTCTATGAGTTTCTCTTGTTTGAGTAGAGATTCTGATAGTGTTTTTTAATCAGAAAAACATTACTTTTTGACTCAAGATTTGACTTTTAAGTTCACATAATCATGATTAGGAATCTGAACCATAAAACATGAGATACATGGCCTTATTCTTACTTAAGATGCAAGCAATTATGTATAAATTATGTTCTGTTCTTAGCATGATTTTCGGTCATTGAGTCTCTTGTTTCACTCTTTTGAGTAGAGATTCTGATAGTTTCTGAAACTGATTCTCTGTGTGAATGTTGCTCTGTCTTACAGCAACAGCTAAACTAACGAATCTTTTGTTTTTGTGTTACAGTCTGGTTGCTGCAAACCCTTGGAACAATGTGGATTCACTTACGTTAGCGCCACGCACTGGAACAAGACGAACGGAACACACACTAATCCAGACTGCCAAACATGGGACAACGCGAAGGACAAGCTCTGCTTCGACTGTCAATCTTGCAAAGCCGGTCTCCTCGACAACGTCAAGAGCGCGTGGAAGAAAGTTGCAGTCGTCAACATCATCTTCCTCGTCTTCCTCATCATCGTCTACTCTGTTGGTTGCTGTGCTTTGAGGAACAACAGGAGAGACAGCAGTTACAGCCGTACCTATGGATACAAGCCTTGATTTACAACGCTTTTGCGAGTTTTAGGACAGAGATTCGTTCGTTGTTCGTCTTTTACACATTATTGGAGTTTGCTTTTATCTTTCTTGGTGTTTTTGAGACCTAGTGCTTGTACAGCTCTGCTCTTATGATACTACTACTTAGTGTGTTCTGCCTTATGGCTAAACCTTGATATTGATTTATTATATGTTATTTTCATTAGTTTATTGTTTTCTCTATTCATATCCATGTTGTTCTTTTGATCGTCTCGTTGAGAAACAGAGAAGCCACGACTGTGACAATAATAACTATACACAGAGCGAGGCTGTAACATTATTACAATAATAACTTAATCGTAGAAAATTACGAACTTGCACAAATTGACAGATACATGTGCTTGTATAAATAATTTTTTTTTAATTTTCTTTGTTCACCTCTTGTAGAAATAGATACTAACTTCTTTTTTGCTTTCGAACGAATGTTAAAAGAAAAGGTGCTAGAGAAACACACATACCGTGCCAAATAAACATTAGACCGCGAGTTATGAAAACCACGTAAAAGAAAGTATTCCCTCTCCCTCTGTTTCATAATAAATGTCATTTAGAAAAAATATATCTGTATTGTAACTGGATGTATCTGGATATGTTTTGAGTTTAATATATCTAGATACATTGTAGATACATTTTCTTCAAATAACATTTATTATGAAACAGAGGGAATATATGATCTCATTGGTAATAACTGTAGTTATATATTTTTGTTGTAGAAATATAGTTGTAAGTTTTTTTTGTTATAAATGCATGATATTTTACTTTTTAAAAATTTTAGTTATGAAATTATAAAATTTGGAAAGTATAAAATTATGTGTTTTAAAAATATATTTTATACAGCTAAAAAATATTACAAAAATATATTAGTTGTAAAAAAATAAAAAGATAAAATTTATAAAATATGATTGATATAATTTAAAGATATAAATATAAATATTGCTATACATAACATTTATAGCAACAATCAATCAAGTTCTAGACAATAAATGTATTTTTTTACAATTTGAAAAATTGTGTAAAAATATCCAAAAATAGAAGTTATACATGTATTTGGGCCCTAATTTAATGACAAAAAACTTATTTTCTAATAATGAAGAAACTTTTGTCTAAAATATTTGGGCCTTCACATAGCTTCACCGAGACTGAGCTTGGCAGAAGCTACACTGGTTGGAGACAAAGCATGATGAGGTTTCCTTGGAGAGGAAGAAAGCAAATGGTGATGGGTGTCGAGTCCAAGAACTCGAGGAACACATCAAGTCGTCCTTGGCTCAAGGGTGTTGCTAGCTCTTGGAATTAGTGGAAGAAAAAATAGACTAAAAGACATTTTTCTTACTATGCGTTTTCTTAGGTTTTATGTTTTCTTTTATCAATAACGAAGTTCTAGGTTTAAAAAGGAGTATATTTAGACAAACACATGAGACATGATTAGTTTATTGTTGTTTACATAGTTTGATATATCTCAAATCTTTTTTAAAGGCTGCTTGATTATTCTAATGTCATTATTCATTCATTCATTCCCAAATATGCTTTGTATTCCCAATACTTGGGTTCATGATCTGTGTTTTGGATTTTATTTTTATATGTTTACAAAAGAATATAAAACAAAATGTTAAGAAGACGCCTTAAACTGTTTATAGTTTTCTTTTGTCATCAGAACTTAGAAATAGGGCTAGTTATTGCGTCTAAATGAAGATGAATGCTTTATTAAAAAAAAAAGGAAACATGAAGAGAAGATGAAGTTGTCTCTCACGAGGTCCATGTTTTTTGGTTCGTGCTTTCTTTTACGTAATTGAGGACATGAAATTAAACGTCTTTCCTTCTCTATTCGACAATAACAAGGCGTTACGGGAAAGATATATTATAAGCATCAACCGGTTTGGTTAATTGATGGGTTTTATTTTTGGATTATCTATTTCCGGTTCAAACCGGATTTAGTTATAGACTACACTATCTCACTATACTTCTGTATATTGTACCATGCTCACATTTATCTAACCCTAGACAGATAGAATCAAATACAAGAGTCAATTCTTTTAAAGAATCCTCTAATGCATTAGCAAAGTTAAACAATATATACTACAATACATTTTATTTTTGCTTAGAGAAAAGAAAGGAAATATCTTAAATCAACTATCCAAAACCAAAATGTTCTAGTTTTCAAACCAAATAAAATTGAACCGAACCAAGATAAACCATTATCCAACGAAGAGACTTGATTTTACAAAATATATATATTATCCATGTCGCCATTTTATAACAATCTTCTCAACTCGAGAAAGATGTTTGATTTTGTTGAAATGGAAGCTCAAATTCTCTTTCTCTATCTCGCACTCTTCGTCCTCTCTCTCAACTTCTTCCTTCAGAGTCTCAAGCCGAGGCTAGCCCGCCTCTTCAAGCCTTCTTTCCAAGCCCAAGTCACTGCCGCCATTTTATCAAGAAAAGAAGTCGCCGATTTTCTTGATTCTCCCATTTTGGAAGAAGACGAAGAAGAAGAAGAAGAAGGAGATATCCTTACAATTTCCAGTTCTACGTTCGAGTTTGATCCCTACATGACGAGCAAAGCCGAATCGGTGAACAAAGCCCTAGACGAAGCCATACCAGTAGGTGAACCACTCAAGATCCACGAAGCGATGCGTTACGCGGTTCTTGCGGCTGGAAAACGCGTTAGGCCAATACTCTGTCTCGCTTCTTGCGAGCTAGTAGGCGGCAAAGAAAACGCGGCTATGCCAGCGGCTTGTGCGGTTGAGATGATCCACACGATGTCTCTAATCAAGGACGACTTGCCATGTATGGACAATGACGATCTGCGCCGTGGGAAGCCCACGACACACAAAGTCTACGGCGAAGGAGTGGCCATTCTCTCGGGAGGAGCTCTATTGTCGCTTGCCTTCGAGCACATGACTACGGCGGAGATTTCGCCGGAGAAAATGGTTTGGTCGGTCAGGGAATTGGCTAGGTCTATTGGAACGAGAGGTTTAGTCGCGGGACAAGCCAAGGATATAAGCAGTGAGGGTTTGGACTTAAACAAGGTCGGACTAGAGCATTTGGAGTTTATCCATGTCCATAAAACCGCGGTTTTGTTGGAAACCGCCGCGGTTCTTGGAGCCATTATTGGTGGTGGCACTAATGAAGAGATTGAGAGTGTGAGGAAGTTTGCAAGGTGCATTGGATTGTTGTTTCAGGTTGTGGATGATATCTTGGACGAGACCAAGTCGTCGGAGGAATTGGGAAAGACCGCCGGAAAAGATCAGCTCCTCGGAAAGCTAACGTATCCGAAGCTGATGGGTTTGGAGAAATCTAAAGAATTCGTTAAGAGGTTGACTAGAGATGCACGGCAACACCTTCAAGGGTTTAGTTCCGAAAAGGTGGCTCCTTTAGTAGCACTTACTAATTTTATTGCCAATAGAAACAACTAAAAAAAACTGTGGGTTTTTTAGAAGTTTGATTATTTTTTTGTATTTTGTGTGTGTTGGGTTCATGTATACATGCTAAAATAGTGTGTTTACTTTTAAGTGTAACCACATTTTAATATTTTAATTAAATTAAACATTTGTAAACGCAAAGACTGAAACGCAAATCCATTTGCCTGTTGTGTAAATTTGATAATAAAAGGCCTTTTCGAAATTAGAACATACTAGTAGTATTTAACATGTAAACAACACCCAAACAATATCAAATGACAGAAACAAGACTATATTGATAAAGAAATGACGTTTATAAACTGATATCATTTATGCATTGTTTCTTGTTAGAAGATAATGCATGTATCTGTTTGTTTTATAGTGACTAGGCTTTTAACTCGCGCTACGCGTAAGTCTGTATTAATAATTTAGTTTAATTTTTTGGTTAATATCTTTTAAATTATCAAAATTATAATATATTTGTAGAAATTTTCTTTTATATAAAAAAATTAAAATGTAATATGTAATATTTCCTATTTTTGTTTATAAAATTATAAATCTTATTAAGTAAAATCATAGTAATGACACCTAACAAATTATCTAACTTCGATGTGCATATGTTTGATTTAGAAAATGATTTCCTTACTAAATTTTTGGTGTTTTGTTTTATATCCTTAGGATTTCTATGATTCTTTTTTTTAAAAAGAGTTTATATGTTTAAATATTTAATTTCTTTACTAAATGTCTCACTAATGTTGTGTACATATACATATATAATACATGATATGTGTTGATTCAGATTTACTTTTGTTAGTAAGCTACATTAAAATCGTTTAAAGCTGCTTTTTGCTTCTCCACCAGATCTTCTACGAATTTTAGGTTATATCTCTATTCAGTTTATAAGATCTATTTTATTTGCAGTCAACTATTTGCTAATATTTGTTTTTAAACATGTAAGATGATGTTGAGACTTCACATTATCACTGTTTTTTTATCTTTTGTTTTTTATTCATGTTTTAATTTGAATATTTTATGTTCATATATTCTCATTTGAATTTGATTCATAACTTTGTCATATTATATTATTTAAATAAAATTTTAAAGGATGTTGCTCATATGTTGTTCATGTTAACTAAGTTATAAGCAGTAAATATATATACAAATCAGACTTTATTACTTATTATATTTTGAATGTAAAGTTACTTGTGTAGTATTTTACTTTGTTAATTTTTCAACCACACGCAACCAAGGTATTAATCTTTGTAAATTTAAATAATATGTTTGATTTAGAAACTTGTATAGCCTATTAAAACTTTATATGATTATTCATAGTGAACACCAATATTATAGAAATAATGAATGTTTTTGGAACTATATTTCAAACTAATTTTCTTCTTAGATCTTGTTTTTTATTATTTTAAATATCTTCAATGGTAATTTTATATTTATTTTTAATTATCTAATTTTCTGCATGTTTGATATAAAGACATAAACTTTTTTGTTAGTTAAATATTTTTATATTTTAAGTAGTTAGTCAGATATCAAGTCAATATATTTTTAAGTGTTTTTTTTAAATAATATTTTGTAAAACTTAATTTCCATTTTAGTTTTTAGTTAATTAATTTCTTAATATTGGTTTCTTAAATAATTAGCTTAAATATTTATATTATTTTTGTTAGTTAAGTTTTTAGTATTATTTAAGTTTTTTTTATTCTCTTACTTATTCTGTTTATATTGATTTTGTTAAATAAATAACATAGATATTAAATTAATATCCTCTTTTTTTGTTAACTTAACTTTCTCGATATGAACTTTTATTTTAATTGTATTGACATATTGTAAGAAATAATTTATGTTTTGGTTTTTGTTAGTTAAACATTTTTTTATAATGCTTTTTTCAGTAATTAGCATAAAGTATCATTTTTGGTTTGTTAAGATTTTTGTGTTAATTTTTTAAATATTTCCCACAAAATTATAAGTTTTATATGACTTTCTTTTTTGATAATTTAAGATGAATATTTTTTTGGTAGTATTGATATTTTTAAATAACAATTTTATATGTTTATATAAAAATTTAATCTTAATATTTTTTTCTAAATAAATTACTCATTTAAAATATATATGCTATTTTTTTTAATTTAACTTTTTTGTTATTGATTTACATATTTGTTTTTGTTAGTTTAGTTTTTGTGACAATGAGTTTCTATTTTATTTTCACAATAAATTTAGACTTTTGACATAAATTTATTTTATTTAGTTAAAAAATTACTTTAATTTTCTATTATATTGTGATAATTTTATATTTTTGTATGTTTCAATTTATTTAAATTATTAATACTATTTTTTTATTTTTAATGTTTAATGAAAAACACTGATATAGACTAATCAGATTGAGTATATATGTCCTATGTGGATGTTCTCATTGGCCTAAGACATCAACACAGACCACAACTAATATATTTTAAGTTAGCAGTTCAGATTTTAATTGTTTGTCGTGATTAAAATTTTTAAATAATTTAATTATGGTTTTAAATACAGTTTTTAATAATTTTATTCAATATATATGATTTTTCTTTTATAATTTCTTTATATGTTAATTTACCTTTTTATTGTTAATAGAAAAATAAGATCTATTTTCAAAACTCTCTTTTATTAATAACTAATTTAAAATTTAGAAACTTTCCTAATAACAACAAAAACAAAATTAATTAAAATTTAGAAGTTTTTCTTATAATAATTAAAACGAATTGATCAATTTTAATATACAATATATAATTAACTAAAAATAATGATGATGTGTACTAATAAAATTAAATCTTTAAATTCTATGTGGAGATCCTTAGAGGCATTTCGCATAAACTTTTATTAGTAATAGATTATTATTTAGCTTTGAAATTACCTTTGGTTTAAATACTTTTTGCATTTGTGTATAGTGGATTGACATAATATCGAGGATTCTATCAAATTTAAAGCATAAGATCAGATAAATGAGAAACGATTTCTTTTGAAAAACATATTATAAATAAATGAGAGATTATAATGATTTGTTTTTTTTAGACTTTAATTTTTCAATGCATTCAAACTCAATCAGGACTTGGAGTTGGAGAATATACTCAATTCACCTAAAATTCACCACAAAGAAAAAATCACCGAAAAAAGTTCATATGAAAAAAAAATTGAATAATATATTTAAATAAATTTATTTATATTGAGTAGTGTAGTGCAGTCAATAGTAATAAATATTCTCCTAGGCACATCCTTCAAGGAAAAGTTTACCATTTCTGTTAGGTCACTAGCACCCTACAGTTTCCAAGACTTTCCTTCCTAAATTAATAAGTCAACTTTCAAAATCACTCTTCGTACCGCAGGTTACTTCGAGGTTCCACCCCCGACTTAGTGTCAGAGGGTCTGTCGTCTTCCCTGCCGGTAAGTTTCTCTGCTCCTCCTCCTATCCGCCACACAGCTTCAGACGATAGAAGCCACATCCTATCCTCCCTCCTCTCAACACACTTTACGAATCCAATCTATTCAAAACTCAAAACTCTCCCACGACTCTGCCTTACCACTTCTTCATCTTGCTCAAGTGCTATCATCTGTTTTCTGTTTCGAAATCACCCCAGATTGGTTTCCCTCCTGGTCAAAATGGCACAAAGGTTCTCATATGCAGAAAAAGGAAAAGCCATTGTAACACAACAAGACCATGCTCCACCACGGGTGAGAATCAGAGCCCCTGACATCAACACTTCAGACCTCATAAAGGAGAACAACCTGCACTCATTGGTCACCTCACAAACCCCTAGGAACATAAAATGAGATCCGTGCTTCCCCTCTTCTCCAACAGATGGAGCGTTACAGGACAAGCCGATAGATCTGACTTAGGCAACAACTGCTTCCAGATCCGCTTTGAAAACAAGGAGAACCTCCAGAGAGCTCTCGACAATAGACCATACCAGTATGCTAGATGGATGGTCATACTACAACGCTGGGAACCTATTATCTCTGCACTATTCCCCTCTAAGATTCCTTTCTGGATAACCCTGCAAGGCCTCCCGCTCCACTACTGGAACAAAGATCTCATCACCAACATCGGGAAGGAACTGGGAGATTTTGAGGACTATGAAATCACCAGAACAGCTGCAAGAATAAAAATCTCTGTTGACGGACTACAACCCATAGTAATAGAAACAGTTATCGAATTTGCAAGTGGGGAAGAGGCCATCGTCACACTTGAATATGAAAAACTTGAAAGATATTGCTCCCGCTGCTTTAAGCTAACCTATGACTCAAGACTGTGCCTCGAGTCTGCTACACCTGCTTCACCCCAAGAAACAGAGAGGCCACGTGCGGACAGACCACCCCAGCTTCCGCAAACAAAGAGCCACCACCAAGCTCCTGCAAGCAAAGATTACCATGAAAGAAGGGACAGATATGGTCAACCTTTTGGTAAAAGACCATCCGAGAAGGGACAGATATGGTCAACCTTTTGGTGAAAGACCATCCCAGCGAACACACGACACTCCAACTAGAAGCATCTCAAATAGAGGACTATATACTTGCGAGAAAAACTATCACCGACGCCAAGAGAATAGGAACTCAGCTACTTCTAGATCCCCCTCGGGAAACCATAGAATATCTCCCCTGCGATCCCAAGCTCAATCCAGAGACTCTACTAACCCTGGCCAATATGACAACAGTCACCATTATTCTACACCTAACAATCATCCACTGAGGACTGTATGGCAACCAAAACCACACCAAAAATTACCTCACGCTCTTTCGACAACAACAACATCATAGGCAGAAATCTCCAAGATGAGGCCTTCAACCAGATGGGTTTGATCTCCACGCATCATCAGGCAACAGAAGCTGTCCTTGAAGAGCTTCAGGAATTCACTATCCAATATATAAATTGTGGGGATCCAGTGGAAAGTGAATCACGACGCAAAAGGATACTAGAAAGTAAAGTCAACGGAATGGTTTCGGAAACAGCTGCCTTCCTCGTAGGAGCTCGCTCC